TGGGGCAGGTTTTACCTGATTACAACACCAGCGGGTCATTCCTGGGCCGTTTCCTCCCCAGCTCGATACTCAGGCTCCTGGCAGGCTGGCTGCTTACACTGAATGTTAGAAAGCCTGCTGCCCATAGTATCAGGTCTACAGCTTCTTTTTCCATCTGCTGGGATAAATAAGAGCTGCTTCCTTTCTAAGCAGCAGATCAGGCACTCTCCAGACTCCCAAAAAGAAAAGAAGGAATAATAATAGTCATGTGAGTTTGAAACTCTAATCTCTCTTTTCCACCCCAACCACAACCAACCTGATTGACAAGCTGGGCTGAGGTTGAGGAATTAGAAACTGAGCTGGTTCCTCGTTTCTATTGACTGAACAATTTCCTTTCTCCTTCTGTATACAGCATTTCTTTGTTTCTCTTCCCTGCTTCACCTCACCCAGATCTTTATCATGTCCTATACCTGACACCAAATCAAAGAAGAAACCCAGAGGAGGCCAATTGTAAGCTATTGAGTAGGCTTTCATGTGTGACATTTATTTTTTCAAATTGAAGAGTCACATTTATTGCAAATCCGGGACTATGAGGGGGCATTTCGCTCTCCCAATTCCCATAGTCCATGTGTGACATTTTTATGATAAGGCCCAAGTGACCATATCCAATGAGCAGAGCCAAAAGAAATCTTGGAAAAAGGCAAGATTCCTGAGGAATTCGTAGTTCCCAGATTCTTCCCCAACCCTCTCTCCTCCCATCCCCCCACCAACTCTCAACACATACCCACATCCACACACACACATATCCACACACACTCACACACATACCCACACCCACACCCACACACATCCACACATCCACACACACACACACACACACACACACACACCCACACACCCACACACACACACACACACATACCCACATACACACACACACACATACCCACACCCACACCCACACACATCCACACATCCACACACACACACACACACACACACACACACCCACACACCCACACACACACACACACACATACCCACATACACACACACACACATACCCACACCCACACCCACACACATCCACACATCCACACACACACACACACACACACACACACACCCACACACCCACACACACACACACACACATACCCACACCCACACCCACACACATACACACACACACACACTTAAAGAAGACAAATAGGATTAAAGGGAAATGCTGCCATCATGCCCTACTTTCTCATGGCCTCTACTCTGAGTTCCTCTTAAAAAAAGAAAAAGGGGGAGCCCCTGACACTAAGAAGCTAACCTGGCCCCCACAACTAGGTCATGCTGTTCTCCTATTAGATATAAACAATCTCATAGGATCCCAACCTCAGATAAGGTTCCTCTGTGACCAAGATAAACGGAGGCAGAGCAAGGCCACTTCACAATTCTGTGTAAGCGCAGGCAGACACAAGGTCACCATGTCCCCCACCAAGTGCTGCACACCCTTTCTTGGCTGAAATGAGTGGCTACTATGTGTTTACCTATTTCCGCTCTGGTTTCCTGCTAGTCCCTCCCTATGGATAAAATGTACTGAGATGCACAGCCACAGAACTGTCCCCCTTTCTGAGAGTACCCCATAGAGAGCACACCTTGTTTCCTCAGACCCTCCCCAAATGACCCGACCCAAGCCCAAATGCTATCATAGGTTCTTTCTAACTCCCTTGGCCTGAGATACCTCACTGCTCCTCATGGTATGCTCTCCCTCACTGCAATGAGTCATGATCCCAATTTATTTATCTGCAGATGTGTTCCTGGGGGTCTTTGGTTGAAGGACATGACACTCTCCAATCACCCACCCTTATTTCCTCTCTTTGTGTATTTGTCACACACACACACACACACACACACATACACACACACACACATACGCGTTACCATGAAGTGGTTACCATGAAGTGGTTAAGAACAAGAGCTTTGGAGTCAAATACCTGGCTCCAAACCCCAGCTCTGCATGGCTTTGGCAGGTCACTCGGCCTCCCAGCAACTGCTTCAGGGAAACATGTCGATTCTCACACAGATCTGGGAGGGTCCTGCCAGATATGCAAAGTGTGCATTAGAATGGCTAACAGCCTGTCGGAGATACCGACAGGAAGTTGTACCATAAATCTGTTTTGAAGAACTCTACTTGGCCCATAATCCCTAGGAACATGCCAACTAATGTCATCTTGCTTCAATTTATCGCAGTAAGTTTAATGACCAAATATATTGGTCCAAATTAACTGGCCCTCAAACAATAGTTATGAGTAATAGCTTTTCAGCAAAACTCCTACTCCATAGTGGAAGAATGTACTAGGGTCATGAAGATAAGACATTTTAGTGGATACATCTCAAGTTCTGTGTTGTTGTTGTTTTAATCCTCACCCAAGGGTAGGTTTTTATTAATATTTAGAAAGAGAGGGAGAGAGAGAAAAAAACTTTGATCAGTTGCCTCCTGCACATGTCCTGTCCAGGGACCGAACCCACTACCCAGGTATGTGCCCTGACCAGGAATCGAACCCACAGCCTTTTGGTGTACAGGATGATGCTCCAACAAACTGACATACCCAGCCAGGGCTCTGTGTATTATTTTTAGCTACAAATGAGATCTCTGTCTATGCTGCCTTCACAGAAAATCTCATAATCTCCTGACAATGTTATATTCCAAGGGCAAACACACACACACACACACACACACACACACACACACACACACAGATATTGGAGTCAAAAGAGACCTGGGTTCAAGTCTTATCTTTCCCTCTCACTTACTTTAGGGAGTTACTCACTTGAATCTGTTTTTTCTTTGCAGTATGTATATACCTACATTTTTATTGGAAAGTTACAATAAAAAACACAAGGAAATTGACTAATAAGAAGCTAGCACTCAATTATTGTTATGCCCCACCCTTCACCAATCTCTCCCCCAAGGTCCAAAGTTACACACACTCACATACATACACCACACACACTTGCACACATCCCACACACATACATACAAGGTACAATTTTATTTGCATTTTCAACTTCAATAGCTGTCGGTGGAGCAATGGAGCCTTTGCCTGTACAGGCAGGGTCCCTGGGGAAGGGCCTCTTGGCTACATCCTTGTGAATGCTTTCAAGACTTATTAGGCCCTCTCAGCAGGGTACCTACACCAATTAAGGAGGCAATCGCTTAAATATATAAGGTACTAAGGAATAGATTTTTTAAAAGAAGTTTTGGAATGTGATTACAAAATTAATGATGAAACGTACCTGCCTGTGGCCCATCTTGAGAAGCATGGTAATGGCTTTTGAGAGCAACTGTGTATGTATAGGACTTGGGGAAAGTGAGGTTTCGAGTCTGGCAGAAAATGTCTCATCTCACCCAAGAGTCCACTCACAGAGCATTTGGGTGCCCCCAGGAAACCTGTCTGATAGAAGCTTGAGTAGAAGTGAGGGCATTAAGGGCAAAAAAAGAAAACAGAGAGGCTGTCTGGGAAAAGGTCAGAGACCAAATGAGAATGGGACATACTCTTTAGGGCCCTGAAGATACCTTTTCCAGGAACTAGGACCAAAATATAGCTCCAGGAAAACTACAACAAAGAATGAGAGAAGCCTAGATGAAGGAGATATTGTAAAATGATCTTGTGGACAGGAGACCCGAGTTTGCATCCTGAGTCTGCCACTCACTAGCGGAGGGACTTCTGGCAAGTCCCCCACCTGTTTTTAATCCCCACTTCCTCATCTACCCTGCTTATCTCAAGATTCAACAGGATCCATAGAGTGCATGTAAAAACACTACAAGCCATAGAGTGCGATGCATGGTAGTGTGAGAAAAAACACAATGAAATCTTATAGAACAGTCTTCATGCTCAGTACTGTGATGTCCAAATAACTCCATCCATATAATCCTTAGCAATTATGGCAGGCACATATACAATTCTCAAAAACCGTGGTCTCTTAGTGGCAGTTAATGGGAAATACACAGGGCAGGAATTAGGGGAAAACTCTGCTCCAAGGAGACCGAACTCCCCTGCTTGGGAGAGCAGCCCCATGCCTCCAGCCAGTCCCCGGGCTTCATTCCCATGAAGTCAGTGGCACAGTGAGGAAATAAAGGTCTTAAAAAATTATCTTGCCCTAGCCTGTTTGGCTCAGTGGACAGAGCGTCAGCCCTCAGACTAAAGGGTCCCAGGTTTGATTCTAGTCAAAGGCACACACCTCAGTTGTAGGCTTCTTCCGGTCCCTGGTCGGGGCACGTGCAGGAGGCAACCAATCGATATGTCTTTCTCACATTGATGTTTCTCTCTCCGTGTCTCTCCCTCTCCCTTCCACTCTCTAAAAATCAATGGGAAAATATCCTCGGGTGAGGATTAACAAAACAAAAAATGTTTTAATTATCTTCCACCTCAAGAAGTTTCATGAGTCATTTAAGTGATTTGGACATTATGTAGGTTGAAAGAATTATAAGAATTATCTGAAGAATAGTAATAGACATGGTATAGTGATTACTAGCATTTAAAAAATGCAGATGCTTTGTTAATAGCTGAAAATGCACATGGAGTTCCCATATGGCAGTAACTGTATGTCATTTCCATTGACTGAGAAATGGAATTCTCAAATATGGATTTTCAAGTTCCTTGCACATAGTCTCTTGCTTTATCCTCCTCAACCATAGCCAGGGACCCACAGCCTCCAAATTAAGGACTCCAGGGTTAGGGGTTGGTCATTACAATGGTTCACAAGAAGGGAATAGGCACACGACGATGAAGAGAACAAAACCATGATGTGGCCGAGGAGACCAGAGGCACGGGCACTTGCCACAGGCCTGGAGCGGCTTCCACAAGGTGGCCGGACACAGGAAGAGCAGAGGAGGAACCGAAGATGAGGAAGAGGGGGAGTGAGAGGGCTGGTCGCCTCTGTTTTGTTTTTAAGCTGTTTAGGGTTATGGATATTGAAATCAACACATCTGTAGGCCTCACACAACAGTAAACAAGATTGAGCACCCAAAGCTTTTTTATATTTTACTGCAGAGGTATTTTCGATGTATTATTAGTCACTATATAATTTGTAAACTGCTCATTCATACCCTACATGTACAAAATCATTTTACAAAAATTATTGAAAAAGTAGTAGATAATGTGTCTTCTGCTGGGATCTTACTGGAAGGTGTATCCGGGCAGGTGACAGGATTAGCAGCAGCAGCAGCCAGTACTGTGGCTGCCTCTCCATCTGGCCCTGTCTTCCGACCACCTCGTAAATTCCCAAGTCCACTGCATCTTGGTTCTTCACCTTTCTCCCCTCTTCTGCCGCTGTCTTCTCACTGGGACCAGCCTCTTCACAGATTGGCCATGCAGGATAAACGAGGAATAGAAATACATCTTCGTACCTTTCTCTCCCTCCAGGGAGAACAATTCTGGTTCTCTGGGACATTCAGCAATCTTATTTCCAGTGGACTTTTTTATCCCACAATGAACCACTTCAAACTTAAATAAATCTCCTTCAATTAGAGTTCTCAAGTAGCCTGCATGAGAGCTTTTGAGTCTTCCTTTTACACTTAGTCCTTCAAGTATCTATTACAATATTTTAACCTTCGTGATCAAAACAACTAAGAACGCTGTTTTGTTACTATTGCGTTATGTTCCATCTCACCAGGAGCTCTACTAAGAAAATACAAAAAGGAAAAGTTCAGCTCGATAATCAGCTGCAGCACGTTCTTACTGTGTGCTACTAGGGGAAGTCTCTAGGCCAAAATTATTGCAATCAGATATCCAGTTCTTCCGAACATCACCAGGCAATCCAGGGTCATGGGCCAGACCAGAAGTCCACCGTGATGTTGACATATAAAGGATTGTAATCCACGGATAGTAATTTATAAACACAACTGTTCAACCCATCTGTCCTCCAGACTCGTGACACCTGATGTAAGAGCTTCATCCTAAAGATAAAAAGAGCAAATGTGTAAGACAAGAATTTAACATATATTTCCATCGCTTTTTGCCTTGCCATAGAATTTCACAAAAGCATCTAGGTAAATTATTATACCCGTTGGGTTTCTTACTGCAAAAAAGTTTATTGTTCCCACCTAAGGTAACAGACATCAATGACAGCCATGTGTTCCTGTGCCTGACTCCATGTGAGACCCTGGAGACCAATGATGAAGTGTCATGTAATAATGACACTTGCATACAGTGAGCCCCTAGCCCAGGGGTGGGCAAACTTTTTGACTCGAGGGCCACAATGGGTTCTTAAACTGGACCGGAGGGCCGGAACAAAAGCATGGATGGAGTGTTTGTGTGAACTAATATAAATTCAAAGTAAACATCATTACATAAAAGGGTACGGTCTTTTTTTCAGTCCGAGGGTGGACACTCTAGCCCAGGGGTGGGCAAACTTTTTGACTCGAGGGCCACAATGGGTTCTTAAACTGGACTGGAGGGCTGGAAAAAAAGCATGGATGGAGTGTTTGTGTGAACTAATAAAAATTCTCAAAGTAAATCATTACATAAAAGGGTACGGTCTTTTTTTTTTTTTAGTTTTATTCATTTCAAACGGGCCGGATCCGGCCCACGGGCCATAGTTTGCCCACGGCTGCTCTAGCCTATGGACAGAGGATGTACAGGTACAATATACACTGATACAGTGTGGTATGTGTCGTCCCCTGCTAACAGGTCCTTGTATAGGCTTCAGGGGATCTATGAATCCTCCACTGTTGTTGCGCCTGTATGCAGGGAGTGTACATAGCTTTCCTAAGAATCTCAAAGTCAGAATGTACAGAGAGCAGGATGAATTAAGGGCACCTCACTTCACGATGGAGTCTGGAGAGGGGTTGCAGAGAAGGAAAATTTGAGGCTTAAAAGAGGAGAAATTCACTACATGAAGAAGGTGAGGCAAAGGACTCCCAGGAAGAGAAACCACCCTGGGCAAGATGCACAGACATGCAAACAGCCGAACGCATTTGAAGAAGAAGAAGCAAGTGTGTGGCCGGAGCCTGGGATGTGGGTAAAGTGGGTGGTGAACTGAGCTGGTCCCAAGAGCCCAGCAGAGAAAAGCAATCCACTTCAGTGACAATAACAATGTGCATGGAGACCAGAAGCACAATGTTGAGCTAAATCAAGTCAGGGGAAGATAATACAGCAGGATTTCACTTACAGAAAATTGAGAAACATGTAAATTAAACCGTCTTTTGTGTAGGGATACAAATATGTGGGAAAACAAGAAAACCAAGAAATGGCACAACTAATTATAATTATCACAAAATTTCAGGAAATTGTTGCCTCCTGTCATGGGGGGCAGATATGAGGAGAGCCACACAGGTAATAGACATACATTGGGTGGGGGACACCACTAGTGTTCATGGTATCAAGAATCTTCAGATTTTTCATATAATTTGTAAGTATTCTTTTTTATCTATTCAATAATAATTTTTTTTATTTAAAGAGAAAGATGCACATGGACAGAGCCTATGGACAGAGACTAGTAAGACAAAGGGAAAATAGAAATATTTGTTTTGTTAAAGTGGTAGATTTTAACAAAAAGGCTAAAAGCCCACTAATATTGTTTTAAAATATAGACTTCAGAGGGGTGGAGGCAGGCTAGAAAGGGTCAATGGGGGGGGGGGAAGGGGACATTTGTAAGACTTTCAACAATAAAGATTTAAAAAGAAAAATGTAGACTTCAACAAAAGGGCCGAAAGCCCTTTAAAACTATTGGAAAAGTGAGGGGAGCCCTGATTGGGTGGCTCAATTGGTTGAAGTGTTGTCCACACACTAAAAAGGTTGTGGGTTCGATTCCCTGTCAGGGCACATATGCAGGTTGTGTATTCAATCCCTAGTCGGGGCACACTGGGGAGGCAAGTGATCGATGTTTCTCTCTCTCATTGGTGTTTCTCTCTCTCTCTCTCTCTCTCTCTCTCTCTCTCTCTCTCTCTCTCTCTCCTTTCCTCTTTCTGCAAATCAATAAAAACATATCCTCTGGTGTCTGTCTAAAAATTACCCAATAAAAAAGCGTTGAACGAAATAAATAGGCTCATCTGATCGGATTTCACAGCATCCAATACTGACAGAAGGAACTAAGCAGGTAGCCGGCAAGGCTCGGAAGCCAGGACTTACCGCCCTATGTTCACCTCATTGCCTCGGTCTCTAGTGTGAAAGATCATTGTATATTTGCCCACATCAGGCATCGGCCGGATTATTTTCATTCTATGAAGTTCAACCCTAGAAAAAGAACACAGGTGGTTAAAAAAAATTCTAGTCTACTTACCTACCACTAGGCACTTAAACAGAATCATTTGTAAAAATTTATACACAGGTGCACACACACTCAGAGTCACACATAGCTTGCTTATCTGCATATTAAAGAAAGAATTTTCTTAGAATGTTGGGCCTCAGGCAGTAAGTCCATCAAAAAAAATCACACTTAACATTTACTTTTGGGGTACAAAGGAGATATGTCAATTTATAGTGTGTTATTTTTCCAAAAGCAACTGAGAAAGTACATGTTTTAAAACATCATGATTTAAGGTATATAAATGTCTAATCACTATGTTGTACACCTTAAATTAATATAATATTGTATGTCCGTTGTAATTGAAAAATATTTTTTTAAAGTGTGACAAATAGAAGAATCAAGTCTCTTAGGATCCCAATTTACTTAGCACTTCCTCCTTTTTCCAAAGTAATGACAAGCTATAAAGCCCATGAACCGAGGTTCAAATCTAGACTTTGTTCTTTACAATCTTGGTAAGTCGGTTCATTGTTCTAGGTCTTGGTTTCCCATCTATAAAATACCCAGGGTGTTATAGAGGTGATCAGACAGGCTCAAATGAGAGCGTCCACAGGAGCATGCTTTGCAAACCCCAATGTAATATATAAGTGCAAAGAAGGGTGGTGACTGCTGCACAGATGAGCCAAAAAATATTTAGTAAATAAATCTCAACCAACTTTTACGTTAAAATCATCTAGTCAGCCGAACCGGTTTGGCTCAGTGGATAGAGTGTCAGCCTGCGGACTCAAGGGTCCCAGGTTCAATTCCAGTCAAGGGCATGTACCTTGGTTGCGGGCACATCCCCAGTAGGGGGCATGCAGGAGGCAGCTGATCAATCTCTCTCATCGATGTTTCTAACTCTCTATCCCTCTCCCTTCTTCTCTGTAAAAAAGTCAATAAAATATATATTTAAAAAAATCATCTAGCCATCCACGGCATTGGTTGAGAATCATTCTGAAGGCCCTGACGTTCTTATCAAACAAAAGCAAAACTTGGTGCTCCCCTGGACCTGGCAGCCAAGGAGCGGTGGGATAAAGGACAGTGATGATACATGATCAGTGCAAAATTCTACTAACCATCCATCTGGGCAGCAAAATGGACTTGGGGAACATGATGGATGTCGTTTACCTCTAGCCTTCGCTACTCTTGCCCTGAAATCGAGTGGATACCCTTTGTCCACTTCAAAAGGCCCGGCCACATAGGCCTTGAAGAGCTGTTGCCGTCACATGGCCACTCCTATGGAGACTTCAGTCAGGGAAATCCACTCCCCTCCTGCCAGAAACATCCCAGACTCCAAGCCTACACATGGGGACAAGACCAGCAGGGAGCCTTGGCTTCTTTAGGCTGAAGCAAGGGGAAAGTCTGGCAGTCACATATACGTTAATTCAGAACCGCAGCTGACAGAGTTCCTTCCCAAGAGACAACAGCAGGAGGAAAAGGGGGTCCCCAGGAAGGCCTTATTATTATAAGTCTAAAGACACTGGCCCCAGCCTGCTGGTGTGGCTCAGTGGTTGAGCATTGACCTGTGAACCAGGAGGTCACAGTTCGATTCCCGGTCAGGACACATGCCTGGGTTGCAGGCTCGACCCCCAGTGTGGGGCGTGCAGGAGGCCACCGATCAATGATTTTCTCTCATCATTGATGTTTCTGTATCTCTCTTCCTCTTCCTTCCTTTCTGAAGTAAAAATACATATTTTTTTAAGATACTGGCCCTAGGCTCTTGAATAATTACTTATCTCTGGGAGATAGGGATACTAATAGCTATCTGGCTACGAAACCCTGCTCAGGAGAGGGAGCTAAGAGAAGAGGTCAGATATATTCTTCCTGAAGCCCTCAGAGCAGAGAGCAGTCCAGGAGAACCTGAGGGTAATGCTAGCAGCCCGGAGGTCGGCCTGGGCGGCAGGCAGCAGCTGCTCCCTGGGTATGCAGGGCTGGCTAATGCCTGAGAGGACCTCTAGGCCAGTTCCAGGTGTGCAGTCCACAGGTTGCTGGCACTCCCTGCCCTGGGCACTGGGAACTGGGCAGGATTCCCTGGGGTCTGAGAGAAAGCATAGGCTTATAACAAGCTCTCTGGCCACTTTCCTCAAATTACAGCTTTGCATTCACTGGTGAGACCTTTCTCAGTAAGCAGTGCTCACTGACAAGGCCACAGAGACCTCCGTCAACACTGCAGGCCCCTAACACCTGCAAGCCAGGAGCAGGCACCTTCCATCATTTCCACGCTGCCAGGGTCAAAGAGCAATCTGGGCTTCTTCCCTCCACCCCTGACACCCTTTATGCCCAAATCTGCGGCCTTGTGCCCTGCTGGACTGGCATCTATAGGAACTATAACACACAGGTTTCTAGAGCCCTCACTGACCACAGAGCTCCGTGAAGGGGACCTGTCTCTGTTGTTCACCTGAGTCTGAGGTCATCGTCTTCGCCTCCCCATCCCCAGTAGTTGTTAGAGAATCCATTCACCTTGAAAAATTGCTCTCGGCTTAGGGCAGTAACACCCCCAAAATATCCGTTGTAACGCAACCTGGAGCAGAAGAGAGGAGAGAAAGGGTAAGAGCATTAGCGCAAAGGCTTTTTGTTCTCCACAGACGCTGGGAAGTCTCTGATTCGGGGCCGGCATTCTAGGAACACTTGAAGACCATGCACTCCACCCATCCATGCCTGCTGGGCACCCGCCTCCTGACATTCCTGGCCTTGCCTTCTGGCCTCCATTCCTGTCTAGACAAGTGCTCACATCTCCTCGCTAAGCAACGGTGCCACCCACCTGTTATTGTTAATGTTTAATGTTTGTGTGCAGAGGTCTACAGAAGTACCTGTAAGTGTGCACCATAGGATGTGGATGACAGATTTCATCCCATGTGCCAATCCAATGTGTAGCTGTAGCTACAGGGCACTGGGTTAAAAAGGATTCTGAAGCTGCACCCAGGTTCAGCATGAATAAGTGTCATAGAGAATATACTGGTATTTTTACTCTCACTTTGTTTTGGGTGGGGGTAGAGAGCAGGAGACAGTTCCTGCTCACACATTGTGTGCAAATTTCCATTTCCAGCATGCAAAGCTCCATCTCAGTGTCTGTTCCTGAAGAACCCAATACACCTCAACTTACCTGATGTTTCTGGTTTGAGCAGTTAGGTAGATGATAGTGGCTTTCACAGAAACAGAGTATATAGAACAATAACTAGGTTTTGAAAGGAAGACAGTAAATTATGTTTTGAATAAGTGGAGTCTGAAATATATCTCAGATCTGCAAATAAGACTCTTTTCAGCCTGGCCAGTGTTGCTCAGTGGTTGAGTGTCAACCTATGAACCAGGAGGTCATGGTTTGATTCCCGATCAGGACACATGCCCAGGTTATAGGCTCAATCCTTACAAGGGAGCCTGCAGGAGGCAGCCTGTCAATGACTCTCTCTCATCACTGATCTTTCTATCTCTCCCTCTCCCTTCCTCTTTGAAATCAATAAAAAAAAAATTTTCTTAAAAAAAAGATTCTTTTCAGTTTTAAAAATAAAGCTATGGAGAAGAGGGTAAAGGGGAGATAAATGGTGGTAGAAGAAAATTTGAGGTGGTGAACACATAATACAATATACAGATGATGTATTGTAGAATTATACACTGAAACCTATATAATTTAATTAACCAATGTCACCCCAATAAATTCAATAAAAAGGAGATGAATTTGGTTCAGAACTCCTTACAGCCAGAAGAAAAAGAGGACACATTCAATCCCCTGATTCACATTAGGAAAACCTGCCAGGTACTCAAAAAAAGACAAACGCTGATAGTTATAAAAGAAATGTCTGGCCAGTTACAATAGCAAGTCCAAACAGCAATATTTGTACAGGGGCTGTTTTTGTTTTTATTTATTTATTTTTATTGATTTCAGAAAGGAAGGGACAGAGAGAGATAGAAACATCAATGATGAGAGGATCATTGATAAGCTACCTCCTGCATGCCCCCTTCTGGGGATCAAGCCCAAAACGTGGACATGTGCCCTGACTGGGAATCAAATCGTGAGCTCCTGGTTCATAGGTTGAAGCTAAACCACTAAGCCACACTGGCCAGGCCAGGAGCTGTTTTTAGAGTGAGTAGCCTCTGATGAAATCCATGATTGTGACATGGAAGTTTTATTCAAAATCAATTCCCAGGAGCAATGCCCCAAGAATTCAGTTTTTTGTGGTATAGCTTAACATAAAATCTAGAATTCCAACAAAAGGCCTGCCCTTAAAACAATCCTGTTATTTGCACTGGAAAAATAAACCCTGTGCAATTGTAATTTCTCACCACAGATGTTTACTTAGTATCTATGTCAAAGGTTCAACATACAGATATGCTGAGTTGTAGATAGTGCCAATGTATCAATACAAAAGTGAACAGATGGTTTTACATGTTCATGAAAATACACGGTGCCCAACCATGATACACTGCTTTCTTCACGGCCAAGGTGGTTCAGAGAACAAAAGACAAAACCTCCAGATAATGAGATTCAGATCCATGATTCTCTTCCAGAACCTCCCCAGCCCTGTGGACCCACCACACCTGCCTCATTCAGGCACATGGCATCTTCACCCCCTCACAGCTTTTTCTCCTCCTCCCTCCCCCAGTCCTTACCAAGTGCTCATAGTTAAATTTGCTAAAGTTAAGTGCAAAACTGATGCAACTCCACTGTAGCTGTCTCCCCACCAGCACACAACAGGGAGCCCTTTGAGGGCAGGCAGCACGCCTATTCAAAGTGGTCTCATGGCCTGGAGTACAGTAAGCACCATAGACTTGAGCACATGGGAATGGCAGGCTCTGGGGGAAGCTGACAGATAAGTGTGCACACACACAAGCAAATATAGTTTCATTCGTAGAGAATTTTCTTGGTCACTATTTCCCCTGGGCTGCGCTTAAATAGGAGCTGGTATAAAATAAGGTTGAAAAGTGGATATGCCTTTCCTGGGAGGGAGGGGGGCACAAGAAATGGGGAATGAAGACAGAAATGGGGTGCCTAGCACTTCCCATGGTGGCTTTGAGAAAAGGAACTTGTCCTGGGTGTTCTGGCTCCTGAGCTGACTGCCCAGTAGATACTCCCCTCCCTACTCTCCCTCAGAACTCGGGGAAGATGCCGACATCCCATTCTCACTCAGAGACCTAAGAGCTGTTGCCTCCAAGAGGGGAACTCAAGGACAGACAGGTAAGTTACTTGAATTCTGCACAGTGGGGACAGTGATATGTCATGTGCCGTTTTTCCTAGTTCTCATTTTCCTAAGACACTCTGGGCATGACATCGCGCAGCCTGGGTGACAACAGGGCGAGCAGGCCAGGAGCAGAGCCGCCTTACCTGTAGCCAGTGCTGTTCCTGCCCACCACCAGGTGCTTGGGCTGATCCTCACACCTGTAAAGATTCAGGTCATTCTCGGGCACCAGGTCCACATCGTGGAAAATAAAGCAGTCCCACATTTCATCCTTGAGAGCTTCTATATAGCCCACATTCAAGAGTTTGGCTCGATTAAACTTTTTACTCCCAGCCTGTAGATAGAGAAGTGGAAAGTTGAAAAGCTCCTGAGACGATTTCACAGTGGGCCCCCTTCAGTTCAGATGCAGGAGCTGCTATGAATTACTCCTGCTACTCACAACTAGTGACAGGAAGAAGTGACAGTAGGCGCAATAACAGTAAAAGACAGTCCGTTCCTTAATGTTTCATACAAACTTAAATTCCATACCTGAAAAACATACCTTGAAATGAGTTGTCGTTTAATGGGTATAGATCAGGGGTGGGCAAACTTTTTGACTTGAGGGCCACAATGGGTTCTTAAACTGGACCGGAGGGCCGGAACAAAAGCATGCATAGAGTGTTTGTGTGAACTAATATAAATTCAAAGTAAACATCGTTACATAAAAGGGTACGGTCTTTTTTTTCAATAGTTTTATTCATTTCAAACGGGCCGGATCCGGCCCACGAGCCGTAGTTTGCCCATGGCTGGTATAGATTCTCAGTTTTGCAAAATGAAAAGGTTCTAGAGATAAGGTGCACAATGTGAATATACTTAACACTACTGAAGTGTACACTTACAAATAGTTAAGGTGGTGAATTTGTATTATGCATAATTTTCTACAATTTTTAACCCATATAGAGTCCAAAAAATTGTATACACACTATAACAGCTGATAGCTCAATTTTGAAAATGAAATGTATTTTAATAAACACTGCCTTTACAATTATTCAAAGTGTGTGTATACATTTTGGGGGGATTCCACATATATATATATTTTTTCAAATGGATGTGAGGGCGATCTGGCTGCGACATCTGTCACCCCGTTGATTGCCAGGGTTGATTTGGCTAATCTGGCTGGCTAGGCGGGTGTCCCCTTCCTTCCTCACCGCTCCATGCTCATCCCTCCCAAAGTCGCACGCTTCTTCGTCAAACGGGGTGACCTTCCCCAACAGAGAAGAGGACTTCTCTTCAGTCAAGGGTATATGTGTAGCTTCACTCCTCTGCCAGAACCTCCAAACAAGCTTTCAAGGTCCCATAGTTTTAAAATACAAGTGAAAATAACTCAAAAAATTTAAAATATATCTTTATTCCGTGTAAAACTACAAAACCTTTCTTACATACTAGTCAAACTGATAAGTATCATTGTCTCACTGTTCAGCTCTAAGCTCATCCCAATCTTATCCTACGTAATCAATTTACACTAAGCTTCCAAGACATATAGCTTGCCAGAAAAGACCAAGAGTTCGTGAGCTGCCTTAGCCAGTTGGCTCAGTGGATAGAGCGTTGGCCTGTGGAGTAAAGGGTCCTGACTTTGATTCCGGTCAAGGGCATGTACCTTGGTTGCAGGTTTGATCCCCGACCTTGGTTGGGGAACATGTGGGAGGCAACCAATCAATGTGTCTCTCTGGCATTGATGTTGCTCTGTCCCTCCCCGTCCCTTCCACTCTCTCTAAAAATCAATGGAAAAATACCCTCAGGTAAGGACTAACCTAAAAAAAAAAAAAAAAATTAAAAATTTAAATTTAAAAAAAAGTTTCTGACCTATACACAGAGAAGGTTACTGATAGTATTTCTAAGCTACTTAAAAATCACTGTAAGAAAATTCTGTTTTCATGTTTAACAGCAGAAGCTAATCCCCACAGTGACCCCCCAGAAGGGATTCATCACTGGGTAAGAAAAGAACACATTTCGACCAGTAATAAGATCAGAAGTAAAGCATGAAAAAGATTTCACAGCATTCATATTTTCATGGCTGTTTAGATCAAATTCCTTCAGAATAAATTCCAGTTCAATAAACAGTTTATCATAACAAAAATATAGGCAGTTCTCTCAAGTTCCCACAGTACTCTCCTGAAAAGAATAACACAAAGCAAACATTTTTCTACTCATGAAATATATATATTGGGTGTAGCTGTCCTGAGAAAAAAAACTCAGAGTGACTAACCATGTTAAAAGCAAAAATAATTATAAAACAATATAATAATAGTAAAATTTTGTTTCAAATACTAAAATAATAGGCATAGAGGTATTGTATATATACATTAATTTTCAAAAGCCCCAGTTTATTATAAAATATACATTGCAGAGCTATACATACCCTCTGATGTGTCAAAAGTTTTCATTAAACAAATATTACTGGTTATAACCAATAGCAAGGATGCAATTAATGATTTCTGCTTGCATTTTTTAGCATTTGTAAGGATTTGAGGGGAAATTTTTGGAAGGCCCAGGGCAGTTTTGAAAAGCTAGACATGGACGTTTCAGTTGATGCCTTATTTTTCTTTCAATAAACATTAATACCAAATAAAGATATCTTTAATTACGCACTCCACTTTGCACTAAACTCTTCAAAAGCGAACACTGACACTGTGTTCCCACTAAATCATGCTTCTGGATGCCAAATAAATAAATCAAGAAACAAGAAAAGGGAGGGGAGGGAAGAAAGTGAAAACTAAACATGTTTTACATAACAAATAGTGGCAAACTTAAAGGCAGGATGGTGGAGAGGGTCACAGAACTCCATGATGAACACACAGTGGTCTGTCAAATCCTGCTAGCTCCCCAGTGAGTAGCCACACTCAATAATGCAAAACAATTCCAACGTCTCATTGTGTAGTGTGTAACGAACAGAGGGAAGCGTAGGTCTATGTCAGGGGGAAACTGCAGGGCAGCCATTGGCGAACATGGAAGGGCTCACAACAAAACAGGCCTCCTCCAGAGCTTTAGTGAAGGGGCAGTGAAGTTTCCCAGCACTTAGCTCCATCACTCCACACTCTGGGACAAGAATTTCTTTCACTCCTTTCAAGGATGAACAAGGTAAGAGATCCCTCCTTTGACAACAGTGTGATGTGCCTTTTAACCAAGACGGACAGGTGGCCAAGTACCTCAGAGAGGGGAGAATCTGAGGCAGAGCCCTGGTCTGTCCCCACACTCACCTGGTGGATGATGTAGATGCCATATTCCAGCTGCTGCCTCTGCAAGAAGGGATGAAGGTGTTCTAGCAGGTACATCAGGTGTCTCTCTCGGTTCCGGTGTGGAATGAGGATGGCAACCCGCTGTAAAGCCTTACATTCCTCGGGGTGATACCGGCCTCTGTGCACTTTGGGATTTTCTGCCTGCACGTCTTCCAGAGTAAGATCTGGTTTGAAAACGAGCTTGTCCTGACCTCCTACCATTAAAACAGAACACAAGAAACAACAGTAGCTCTCTCCTTAAGTGTTGATAGGCTGGCATGAGCGAGTACACACGTAAGCATTTAGAACATTGCCTGGCACTGTATGAGTGCTAGCTTCTATTATTACTACTTCAAAGCCTCATTTGGTCATAAACTACAACTGCAGAACAATATGACTCAGGTTTTTGGCTACAAAAGCCAGAAAGCGACATATAAGAGCATTCCCTTGTGGCTGGATAGCCAACTTCAGCTCAGTGATTCAGCCATAAATTAGAAATGCATTCTGTCCTGATGACCCTGATGAAAAGCAGAGGGCAAGACTAGACTAACTTCAAATGTGCTCTACCCACTTTTCCTTCTCAAAGTTCCAAAGGAGGGTGAAGCCTCTTACAAAATCAAGAGTGTTCTGTGGGATCAAGCTCATGGACGAGGCCCCTTGCCCACACCTTCCCTGGGCTCTTAGGAGCTATCCTAGCTCCTTGGAGGTAAAACAGCATAAGGATGTAGAAACTAGCCTCACTCCCTAACCCAGCGATGGCAGGCATGTGCCATCATAGCAGGCATCCCCGATGGAGCATTTGCTCTGCGAGTCCGGACACAGCCTGGTGGGATGAAACCCAGGAGCCGTCCATGGTAACCAATCGCATGCAAGACTTTGAAGATCAGGCTGAAGCCAGGGACCCTCCTCTTGGGTCTGAATGAACAGGGAACACTGGTAAGAAATGAGGCAGAGCGCAGAGAACTGAGACACACTTCCTTAAAGCTCCATATACACTGGTCAGGCTGCAAGATCTCATGTTGCTTGCAAGTAGTGCTCTCCTCTTCTGCACCAAACAATTGCAGGTCCTTCCAATGTATGTCACGGTGACCATCCCCTACCATGGCTGTGGCTGCTGAGACCAGGCTCCAGCGTCCATGAAGTAGTTAAAGACTCTACCAACAGCCCCAAGAGCAAGTGACTATTTCCAGCCACCTGAGGGGAGTAACTCCTGAAGGCTCTGCATGTGACCAGAGTCAGCAAGGCACCGAGGCCCTTAAAACAAACGCTAAGAAAAGGAGTAAGAAGAAAGGCAAGCTACCGGGGCTGCTGCCAGGCCACAGAGCTTCTGAGAGATGATGGTGTGGCTACTGAGGTGGTTTCCTGTGTAGCCTGTTAATAAACCCCATCATCCGAGTTAACCTGCTACGCCTCTCTTCTTGGCCCCTGAAAGAGCCCCGTGCAACAGGTCTGATATAAGCCAGTCCCTTGCTCACTTTCTCGTTGCCATAATTTTTTATGATCCTAACCTTCCAGTACCTGCTGCCACGTCCTCTATCAGCCTCCCTACAACCCTCAGTTTTTGTCCCTTCTGGCCCACCTTCCTCCATCTCTAATATGTCACCCTCTTTATCCAGGTCCTTGCTCAGTTTTGTGTCACTGCCCATCTATTTCTGTTGTGGTTAATCCTCACCTGAGGATATTTTTTCATTGGTTTTCAGAGAGAGTGGAAAGGGAGGGAGGAGGAGAGAGAGAGAAACATCAATGTGAGAGACACATCAATTGGTTGCCTCCTGCTCCCTCTCTGACTGGGGCCAGGGATCAAGCCTATAAACCAGGTATGTGCCCTTGACCAGGAATCAAACCTGCCACCCTTCAGTGCACAGGCCAATGCTCTAACCACTGAGAACGCAGGCCAGAGCTGCCCATCTATTCTTATAAATGCAGATATGGCTTAAATACGCTGTGAGGATTTTGAACAAGGAGGATAATACCGTCAGATTTGCATTTCAATAACTCATTTTCCTATCCCAGCTTGTGTAGTTTCTGAGAAGACTAATTCCCTCACACAATTCAGAGTAATGTTTTGGCTTTTCCATGACTAGGTAGAGAGAAGCATGCCAATACCAACACAGTACAAGACTGTGATTCAATTAGGAAAGCAGGTCTGCAGGTTTTTGTAAACAGCAAAAAGCCTCCGAAAAGCCCCAGGCTGCCCCACGGAGAGTTAATTTCATGTACACAGAGAGCCACCTCTGCAGGACAGGGAGGGGCACGGGCTCTGTAGGCTGGAAGGGCTCACCCTGCCTGCATCCTGCCCACATGCTGTGCCCGGGGACAGAAAGACAAGCGTATGAACACACTGTGGTCAGCACCACAACAGGAATATAGGCAGACACACAGGGAGCATGAGATGAACTCTGGGGCAGTCCCAGAAACCTTTCGGGAAGAGAAGTTATCTAAGCTAGACTTTTTGTGAATAAACAGGAATCCACCAGGCAGACATGAATTGAGAAAAAGGCATCCCGGAAAAGGGAACAATATGTAGGCTCAGTGCCTGACAGACCATCAGCATTTAATGTCCTAAAGAATCAGAGGTGTGCTGGAACCTTTGTGGGTTATAGACAATATCGCAGTGGGGTTGTTCTCTCTAATTAACGTGTTCGCTAAAACCAGTTCACTGTTGCTTTAAACAGAGAGGCAACACATCAAAGGGGAACATACAACGTATTTAAGAAATAACCGCTAAATGCAACACTGAAGGACGGACTCAATCCTGTCCTTCCACATCATACTTTTGGCCAAAGAGATGCTAGCAGGTGGGGCACAAATGGAGGCCTGACTGGCTTGTATTTCTCCACTTGTGGTCTGCAGATGCCAGGAGAGAAGTGCCCAGGCCAGCCCGTTGGTCCCAAAAGGATGAGAGACCTGTGGAGCAGGACCACCAGCCTAAACCAACTGACCCCAAGCTCACGCCACAGACTTGCGAGCTAAATAAATAATGCCTGTTGACGTGTGCAGCTGGATAATAACAGTGGATGTGCGCATATAGTGGAAGACTCTGCATCAGCCATATGGACACAGCTCACAAACATAACGTCGAACAACGGGAGTTCAGACACAAAGGAGTACACAGTGCATGTTTCCAAGTAGGCAGAGTTCAAAAGCAGGGGAATCTGTGGGTGGGTTACAATCCCAAAGTAAGGGTCGTGACTGAAAGAATGGGAACGTCTAGGGTCCCATGAAGATTCCATTTCATAATTTACATGCCGCTACACAGGTATGTTCATTTGGTGAAACTTAGTTGAGCTGGGCACTTCTGATCTTTCTACTTTTCTGTATATGTATCTAGTAAAAAAAATTTATGTAGCACTTGTGAAAAAGAAAGCAAGAAAGAAAAACAAATACTCACTGAGGTGTGGAGAGACGGAAGGGCAGTCGTCCAGGTCTGCTCTTTTCACAGAGGCTTCGTCAGCCAGAGTTTCTTTCTTCCCCAAAACCATGGCCTTTTTGAAAGTAGTAATGAAATCCTTTGCTTTAGGAATCTCCTGAATAGCACTGACAAAGTAGTTACTGGTGGCCCACCCCACCACCGTCAGGCATAAAGTAAAAAGCAAGAGTAACCGGAGTTTGTAGGAAAGGAAGGAAGTCACGTGGAAGCCCATGTCTTGTTATGTGAGCAGATGGGTCACTCCGCGTCACTGCAGCAGAAAGCTTCCAGTTCACCTTTTCCAATCCGAGTGCACACTCGGTGACAGCTGAAGACGCAGTGCCTGCTTGTGTTCAGTAGTTCTGCTCCAACAATCTCTGGAAGGCAAGCACAAAGACATGTTTCTGATGGAAATCCTACCCTGCAATGATTCACGTCACACGTCAGCGCGAACTGAAAACCTATCCCCCAGGGAACCTGACTGACAGTAATGGGAGTTCTCCAGCGAGGGTTTAGAGATCAGAAACTCAGAGACTTTCGAGGCAGAAGGTCCCAGCCATCTATTCATCATAGGAGTTCTCTCTGGGTCATCTCTGTCACCCAGGAAGAAAGCCATGCCCAGATATTAGGGGAGGAGAAAGCAGAGACAGGAAATGCCTCCTCAGCTTTGAGCTGGCACAGCCTAAAATACAGCCATAAGGGTCCTCTTCCTGGCACAGCTGTAAGAGAAGGTTAACAACCTGTGAAATATTGTTACGGAGAACAAGACAGAAGCTCTATCCTGTGAGAGTTAGAAAAATGTGTTCCTCAAAAACAGGGATGAAAAATCAAGGATTTTCACAATGAGGCACTTCATGGGCACATCCCAACAGGTGGGGGAGAGGGCAAGAAACATAAGAAAAGCCCAATGCAGGAGGTCAATCATCTACAAAAATAACAGGTAAAACTGGTTACGGTCAGGGGTTTTGATTCAGACAGAAACTCTAACTCCGCCACATATTGGCCCTGAAACCTGTCTTCTTATCTATAAAACTAATGGCCCAGTGCACGAAATTTGTGCACCGGGATTGGGGGGTGTCCCTCAGCCCAGCCTGTATCCTCTCTAATCTGGGACCCCTCAGGGGATGTCCGACTGCCGGTTTAGACCCGATTTAGGATCGGGTCTAAACCGGCAATCGGACATCCCCCTCACAATCTGGGACTGCTGGTTCCCAACTGCTCGCCTGCCAGCCTGATCACCCCCTAACCACTCCCCTGCCAGCCTGATTGATGCCTAACTGCTACCCTGCCAGCCCAATTGCCTCCAACTGCCCTCCCCTGCCAATCTGGTCGCCACCAACTGCCCTCCCCTGTAGGCTTGGTCCCCCCCAACTGCCCTCCTCTGCCGACCTGGTCACCCCTAACTTCCCTCCCCTGCCAGCCTGGTCGCCCTCAACTGCCCTCCCCTGCTGATCTGGTTTCCCCTAACTGCCCTCCCCTGTAGGCCTGGTCCCCCCCAACTGCTCTCCCCTGCCGGCCATCTTGTGCCCACATGGGGGCGGCCATCTTGTGTGAAGGTATGACAGTCAATTTGCATATTACCTCATATAGGATGGGGATAAATATAGTACTGACCCGGAGAGGTTACTGTGGGACTGGATGACCTAATATATTCATACATCACATGTTAGCCCACCTCCTGGTGTACAGGAGGCACCCACTACCTGGTGACAATCGCTGTTGATACTGTTATATGCTTTACTTTAAGTAACTTTAGGTTAGGGATGGCCAACAGGCAGACACACTGGAGGTTGGCAGAACCACCTTTCTATGTTTTTCACTGTCATCTGATAAACTGCCATGCTGATTTCATACTTAAGTATGAATCAGTCTCTGAGGTCACATAGGTGAGGACTCGGCTGGACCATGGCGAGTGCACTAAGGTGATGAAGGTGATGAGTAGCAATACCCCCACATCCTCTCTGCATTGCCAAAATCACACCTCTCCTCAAATTCTAAACATGTTAACAGAAGAACACAGAAATGCTAAAGTCAGGGCATAATAATCTCTATAGCCAAACATATCCTCAAGTATATGAATAGAATGAATATTTTCTATACCAAGTGATAACACAGAAACACTTATGATTAAATCTTAAGTAACAAAAATGAAACAGAGAAAACAAACTCCATATGTGTGTATGATTACTACTGAAATTACAGAAATAAGAAAACTCTAGAAAAAAACATAGCCAAAAGCTAGTAATAATTGTATCAGGAGTATGGGATTAGCCAAGGGTGAATTTTTCTCTTTTCTTTTCCAAATTTTGTATAATACACTTCTGTTTTTTTAATAATGAAAACAAAGTTGCTTTTAAATGAGATGTGGGGATATGGTAATTTACTATGAAAAACAAAGTCTTAGCTACTTTCAAAAGGGCCTCATACTTACTGAAGGGTAGTATTTCAAAATGTAGCTGAGGGCTAGTTTGAGGGAAGCCTAGAAAGCATTTCTCTCTAGACACAACGTAATAGATGGAGGTTAGGTTCTTGGGTCAAACCACAAAAGAGAGGTTTTGACCCAGCAAGCAATTAAACAGTATGACCTGTGTTTAGTCTTGAAGGTACCTAAAAAATAACAATAATAACAGCTAATAAGAGTGGTTTATTTATGCATTTACTCTGTGCCATGTAATGTGGTTAAATCACTTTATCACCTTATTTAATTCCCATTTCAACCTTACGAGCTAAGAATTATTAGTCTCCTCATTTTATAGATGAAAAAAATGAAGGTTTAGAGAGATTAAAGAACTTGCCCAAGATACACAAGTAGTAAATGGTGAAGCTGGGATCTGAGCCCACGTGGTCAGCCCCAAAGCCTGGGCTTCTGCCATATTCTTCACATGGACATGTCAATCTCTTTCCTTGTGGCCCGGGTGCACCCAACACAAACCCTGTCCATAGGCAGAGTTTTCTTTAGCAGCCTCCTGTCTCTCTCCCACATCCTCCTGTCCCTCTCTTCAGGCCTGTTTGTTCAACGGGCTTCCTGAAGTTTCTTCTCTTCCCTCCAGGTAAGTCTGCAGATTCCTGGGACCAATCAGACAACCTTGTGGACTTAATGGCAGGAAGCACAAATGCTAGGATTGCCAATGGCTTTTGATTAAAATCTCAATCTTGGAAAATTTGGACTGGAAGCATTGTTTTCCTAAGAGCTGCTTGTGGAGGGATGGTCCCCTAACAGGGACACTCACCTGCCTGAAAGGACTTCTGATCACAGAACTACAGTGCGTGCACACACACACACACATTCTGCAGAGGGAGGGAGTGTTTTTTAGAGAGAGTTAAAAACCTACCCAAGTAGTGAATTAGGAATAGGCATAGACTACTGCTGCTGAACTGCAGCCCAATTTGTCCAAAGATAAGAAATTCATTATAAAAGCAAGGGGCCATCCTTATGATCTATAATAATAAAAGCATAATATGCTAATTAGACCAGACGTCCTTCCGGACGACCTTCCGGACAAAGCCAGGGCTGCAAGGGAAGCCAGTGCTGGCAGCTGGGGGAAGGAAGGCCTACTCTTGCACAAATTTCATGCATCAGGCCTTCCTTTTTAAGTTAACCAATTGTGTGTGTGTGTGTGTGTATCTAAGCAACCCGGTTGACCGGTTGCTATGACAACGCACTGACCACCAGGGGGAGATGCTTAACGCAGGAGCTGCCCCCTGGTGGTCAGTGTGCTCCAACAGCCAACCTACCGTGGCTGGCCAACCTCCCGCAGTCCCTCGCCCTG